TCACAATCTCTGTAAAAAACTAGAGTTCTTGATCTTCAAATATCCCTCAAGGGTTTTGTAGAGATTTTTCATAGATTCGTTAGCGATTCTGCAGGTACTCGTCGAAGTTTTTGAAAATTCTTCAATTTTTCAGTAAATCTTCAGGGATTCTTCTCAACATTCTGCAGTTTCGTCACAATTTCTATAAAAAACTTAAGAAGTTCTTGATCTTCAAATATTGCTCAAAGATTTTGTAGAGACTTTTTAGAGATTCGTTAGATATTCTGCAGATACTCGTCGAAGTTTTTGAAAATTCTTCAATTTTTCAGTAAATCTTCAGGGATTCTTCTGAACATTCTGCAGTTTTGTCACAATTTCTGTAAAAAACTTCAGAAGTTCTTGATCTTCAAATATTCCTCAAGGATTTTGTAGAGATTTTTCAGAGATTCGTTAGAGATTCTGCAGATACTCGTCGTAGTTTTTGAAAATTCTTCAATTTTTCAGTTTATCTTCAGGGATTCTTCTGAATATTCTGCAGTTTCGTCACAATTTCTGTAAAAGACTTCAGACGTTCTTGATCTCCAAATATTCCTCAAGGATTTTTTAGAGATTTTTCAGAGATTCGTGAGAGATTCTGCAGATAATCTTCAAAAAATTTGCAGATTCTGCACAATTTCTGTAAAATAAAAGCTTTGGGTTTCAAAAATTCCTCACGGATTTTATAGAGACTTTTCGGAAGTTCTTTAGAGGTTCTTCAGAGAGTGTTTAAAAATTATTCAGTGGTTCCCTAGATTTTTCAGATATTCTACAGATTCTTCCAAGGTTCTTCAAAGATATTTAAGAAAATCTCGTCTTTAAATACTTCCAACAAATTAATCAGAGGTCCTTTAGAGAATTTGCGGAGATTTTTGAAATTGCTCGGTGATTCGATAGAGATTCTGCAAATACTCGTCAAAGTATTTGAAAGTTCTTCAATTTTTCAGTAAATCTTCAGGGATTCTTCTGAACATTCTGCAGCTTCGTCACAATTTCTGTAAAAAACTTCAGAAGTTTTTGATCTTCAAATATTCCTCATGGATTGTTCAGAGATTCTGCAGATATCCTTAAAAAATGTTGTAAAATAAAAGTATTTGCGTTTCAAAAATTGTCCACGGACTTTATAGAGACTTTTCGGATGTTCCTTATAGATCCTTCAGAGATTCTTTAAAAATTATTCAGTGGTTCCTCAGATTTGTCAGATATTCTACAGATTCTTCCAAGGTTCCTCAAAGATATTTAAGAAACTCTCTTCTTTAAATACTTCCAAGAAAATAAAGAGGTTCTTTAGATAGTTTTCGGAGATTTTTGAGATTCCACGGTGATTCGATAGATTCTGCAGATACAGATTTCTTTCCTTCTTGTAGTTTTACAAATCCCAATCAATTCTTCTTGATACTTCCTTCTCTTCATATCGTCTCTTGGTCCTCCAAACCCGAAGAAGCGGAAGAACTTGAAGACCTTAAGTAATTTTATCAATGTAATGCAAAAAGGTCACTATCTATGAAGGATTAAATATAATCAGGAATGAAAGGTGGACAATGACAATGAAGACAGTGTAGTATCGTAATAGCTCCTTGATCGTGGATTTTGAATAGTCGTTTCTGCACAGTGGCTAGACATGATGAAAATTATAAATTCGTCTCGAGTGTGGATAGATCTAAGTCCCTTGTAACTTACAACATCTGTTCTCAAAGCGAATGTCTGACCTTTGTCCCTGTAATGTTAAGCTTCTTGCCGAAGTGCTTAAAATCGCGCATAAAATAGTGAAATCCGATCTGGTTTTGTTTCAGCTCGATACCGACGATCGGTACACATTGGCATCGACGGGGAGGAGGTCAAGGCTTACCCTTTGCTCCCCGTTCAATTGTTTTCAAAACGCCGCAACGCGTAAAAATGAAATTAACATCGCGTCGTCGTCGGTTGCGACTACCTGCTGGAGCTTCCACGTTAAAATTAATGATCCGCGGAGATGAATGAAAACGGTAACAAAACCCCCGAATGAAAAAAAAAGGAGAACGTAATTTACCCGTCTTTTTGAATATACCGACACCTCAATTCAATTTTTTCTCCCCCTTAACGCAATTTACCTTAAAAAAACACCGGAAACCGCGCCAGAAATATTAATTATTACTCGTCCACTTTTTTTTTCGAAAATGGGTGACTTGCACATTATGCAAGTAGCGCGTCGTCTTATTTTCTAGTAATTAATATAAGTGAATACGGGTGGCTCTTCTCCACGCTAATTAACCCGTAATTAATTTAGTTTCGCCTGTCTCAAATTTTGTATAATAATGATTTTTGTTTGCTCTCTACCATTACTAACTGTGTACAATTATATTAATAGTATCTGGGGGGGCCTTATTTCGTTCTACCGTAATTACCGGCTGACGTGTACGTAACGCAGTACTTTACTAATAAAGTTTTCTGATTTGACTAATCGACTTGGGGATGCAGTTTCGGTTACAGCCTCAGCTCACGAC